CACGCACGGCCCGGCTCTCGCTGGAAGGAAGGAGGCAGCGCCGGGGCCCCTGTCGCGCACACGCGTGGACACCAGATGATGCCTCCTGGAGCCTGGCGGCGGGGTGGGGGCCCTGGGCGGACCTAGGTCCTTCTCGGATTGCTCGGATCTGGCCTCTTGTGCACCGTGGAGCTCCAAGGTGGAGACCCTGAGTCCGGAGTGGGCAGGGGCTCGCATTCCTTCGCCCCCTCCCCGACTCGCCATCCGTCTCCGCACCTTGTTCTGGGAGAGTTCTGGCCCGGCTCAGTCCCTTCCCCCGGTCTCAGTTTACCCCGAGCCCGGGTGCACCCCGGCCCTGGCGACCTGCCCCAGGGCCCCGGGTAGGCCGGTCCCCATCCCCGCAGGAAGGGGGCAGAGGCGGTTCTGTCTGGGTGGGGCACCGCCCAGGCCCTGTCCTGAGTCTTGGGCTGGGCCCCGGGGGAGGAGCCCCTCCCGGAACGCTGGCCTTTGGGTTTTATTGTCTTTGGCCCCCAGAGCACAGCGAAGTCTCCCGTCCTGCAGAGTCCTCCAAGTTCTCTGCTGCCCAGTGGGGTGCAACGTCTGGGCAGGAACAGACCTGCCCTTCCCCAGGCCTATACCGGGCGCCCTGAGCTTTGATCCCTCCCCTCCTAGCTCCAGGCTGGGCCATGCCGGACAAGAGAGTAGGAGAGGCCTTGGGTCAGCTTCCCTGTCCCCATCCGGTTTCCCCGAGTGCTGCACCTGGGTATGGAGAGGCTGAAACAGACACAAAGGGTCAGGGGGAAGAGTCTCTGTCCCAGCTCCCCTTCCCCTGCTCCTTTGCCTGTCTCTGGCGGAGCCAGGACTCAGAGCCAGTTCCCACTCCATGAGGGATACTGAGCCCTGCTCCCTGAGCACCTGTATGCGCCCAGGCTCGGGATGGGGGACCCCCACTCCCTGGGCAGTCTCTGTACCCCTGAATACCCACAGGGCCCCCACACCTGCCTCTTGCCCTGGGCTTGTGGTCATTCACCCCAGAAACCCCCAGGGTGGAGCTCTGCCCGGCCCACCTGCTGTGCCAGCACTTGGCAGGACAGCCGATGGGCACCACGTGGAAAGGCTTCCAGTCTGGAAGTAGGGGTGAAGGCTCTGAGCTCTGCAGTAACACTGCGGGCGGAGTTGAACTTCCAGCCCTGGCTCCCTTCTGCGGGGCAGGTGCTGCCCCAGACTGGGTTAGGCCCAGGAACAGGAGCCCTGTGATACTAGCGGAATAAACAGACAAGTGGGCTCTTTCTCTGTAACCAGATGTTCCTAGGAGAACATTTGAGGGTCTCTCCCCCGGATCTGCAGAGACCTTGTCTTCCTCCCTGCTGCCTTGGGAGCATTTTCATTTAAAACTAGAGACCAAACTTGCCGGAAATGACTCCAGTCTGTCAAAGGAAAGTTTAGGCCAGGCCCGTGGAAGGAACGTGTGCCGCCTTCTGGCCAGTAGTGGAATTACAGCCTAGCTCCATGGCACACGAAGCCTGCGGTACAGGAGCACAAATCCTAGAAGGAGGAACCCCAAAGTGACAGACTTTTCCTGCCCAGGCAGTCAGGGTTTAGGAAATAACAAGTGGAGCTCAGCTGAGTTAGACTGTCAGGAGGGCTTGGGAGGAGCTGCTGCCATGCAGCGGGCACACAGAAATGAGAGGATGGGTCCTGTGTCTGTGGGTGTGGCCTGGGAGAAAGGGCAAGGACCTGGGGACCCTTAGGGGCCACGGAGCAGAGATCAAAGCTTGCAGCCAGTCAGGGCTTGAAGCCGCTGCGTCCGTCACCACCGCACTGGCTTCCGGGCTCCTCACCAGCGGACAGTGCTGTGGCTGTGGCAGTTTGCCCCGGGCATGACCGCATGGCCCGGGCCGAAGCCTCTGCCTTGTTGCTCAGCTCGGACATTTCAGAGCCACAGGAGTTTCTTCGGTGCCAAGGGAGTGCCCAGGCTGGCCTGGCCGGTGTCCCCTGGGTGCTGGCCAGACAGCTCTGGCCGAGGCAGAGAATACCCCTCCAGCGGACAGTGCTGTGGCTGTGGCAGTTTGCCCCGGGCATGACCGCATGGCCCGGGCCGAAGCCTCTGCCTTGTTGCTCAGCTCGGACATTTCAGAGCCACAGGAGTTTCTTCGGTGCCAAGGGAGTGCCCAGGCTGGCCTGGCCGGTGTCCCCTGGGTGCTGGCCAGACAGCTCTGGCCGAGGCAGAGAATACCCCTACCCTGCCAACCGCGAGAACAGGCGGCATGACAGGAGGTCACCTTCCCCTTCCCAGGCCAGTGTCGGTTCTGGCAGAAGCTGTCCCGCCGGTGAGGGAGCAGGGCGGCCGCGGCACGTGTCTGGGAGCTGGAAAAACCTGCCCCCGGCCCTTCCTGGAGCGGGAGGGGCCTGAGCACAGCCCAGAGTGTCTGCTGGTTTTCAAGCTCTGCGTCTGGGGAGACAGGCCAGGACAGTGAGGGTGTGCCGGGGTCAGCTGTGGGCCGGCCCGCCCCCGCCCTGGCCTCCGCCCCGCATCTCCTGAACCCGCCTGAGCTGTGGTGGTTGGGTCTCCTCCTTCCTGGTTTGCAGGTGGGCAGCCCTGCCTGGGGAGCTGTGGACACAGATCAGGTCCGGAGACAGCCGCACACTGCCTGCAGAAAGATTGCTCTCCCTCCGCAGATCAGGCCTCAGTGCCATTAGATTTTGCCCCAGGCTTCAGCCTGGTCCCACGGGCCCTCCAGGCCCTGTGGCCGAGGGAGGGGAACGCACTGAGGTACTTTAGTGTCTGGTTGCATCATCTTCTCGGCTGCCTCCTGCTGCGCCTCCACGTGCACAGGCGGCCCGACAGGACCTGTGTGCACACAAATGTCTCTTGTGTGAGCCCGGCATGCCACAAGTACATGACACATGCTCATGCACTGTGTCGGCCCCCCTCAGCACAGGCGTGTGCAGTACACACTTGGGCACACACGGTGCAGGCACAGGGCACTCAGCTGCACGCAGCCGGTAAGACAGGAAGGGCTCCTTGGTGTCCGAGTGAGGGCTGGCATGGAGCCCACACCTCCAGGGGACCCCACCCTCAGCTCAGAGCTGGTAGAGCGGGGGACAGTTGGCACTCACTGCCGTGCTAGGCCTCGGAGGGAGGCGGTGGATCGGCTGGGGTGGGGTGAGGCCAGTCTGTGGAGTGCCCCGCCCTGCCTGGTACCCCTCTTGGCTTCTGCCTGTGTGAGGGCCTTGTCCTGGGGTCACAGCCCTCCATCCTGAGCCCTGCAGCCCCAGCTCCGCTGTCATCTCACCCAGCTCCCTCCCCTGAGCCTCCCGGAGCAGGCAGCCCAGCTGATGTGGGTTTAGGTCCTGGCTCTGCCATTTACCAGCCTGGCCAGGTCTTGGGCAAGCTTCTTAACCCAAGCCTCGGTTTCCCTGCCTTTAAAATGGGAGGGCCATGGGGGGCAGGGCTCAGCTCGTGTTGGACAGCTCTGTTTACCATCAGGATGATGAGTCCAGCCAATACACCTGTGCACGCACGCAGGGCCGGGAGCCTGTCTGTCCGTCCCGGAAGGCGGCCTGGGCCTCCCCGTGATGTCTGCGGGCCCGGGACTGGTGTCACTGGGGCTGCCGTGCCAAGCAGCTGAGCCATCGTTGCTTTTGCAGAGTGGTTCCCTGAGCGTGGACACCTGGAAGCCGCACCTCCAGTCCCAGGTACTTCTTCCCTGCATCCTCTCGGCCTCCCTCTCCCTCCCCTCCATCTTCTGCTCTGGTTGCCTGGCTGCAGTTGCCATGGGCACCAGCTGCTGGCTCCAGGTCAGGGCCTGCGGAGCCACCTGCAGCTGGCCAGGGACTCGGCCTGGCCGTGGTCACGGGCCTGGTGGCAGGGAGAGTTGTGAGCACCCATCAGGACCCGCCCTGTCTGGCCACACCATCCCGGGAGGGCCACAGGGCAGCGCACAGAGCCCAGGGAGTGTGCGGGGGCCCGTGTGTTCCCCAGTCAGACCCCAGAGTCCCCACAGCTCACATCCAGGCCGATGGCCCAAGCCAGACACCTGCCACTGCCAGCCAGGGCGCAGGCCTGGGTTTGGATCGGCCCTGCTTCCTGCTCATCCCTGGTATGACCTTGTTAGGTGACCTTGATCTCTGACTCGTCTCCTCTTAGCATAGTGCAGTAATAGCACCCACCTGTAGGGCCAGGAGACGGGCGGGGTGCGCGGGGCTGATCTCTGACGGGGGCCGTGCACCTTCAGGAAGCTTCTGAGGCCGAGGAGCAGCAGGGTGGGCGGGCAGCCCTGGCTGCTGCATCTGGAGCCCCCGGTGACTGTGCTCTTCCTCCGCCACCTTCCGGCCCTCTCGGCCTCAGTTTCCCGCCCCCACATGCTGGGGGAGTTGGTCTCTGTGGCCTTCCCAGCTGAGCTTTGGCAGAGGGGAGCTCGCGGAGGGGCTGGGCCCCCAGAACAACCCTGCCTGGTACTCAGAATCCTCGAACCTGGTGCCCATTACACTTTGGGCAAGGACATTTCCGCTTGCGGTGGCCTCAGGCAGTTAGAACCTCACATGTTCCTGGTCACTGTCTTGTCTTTGTGCATTTTATGGATTCCCTGTGGGCCGCATAAAGGGCAGTGATACCACTAAGCCTAAAAGCTTGAGTTAGCCCAGCAAAAGGTACTGGGGAACTTTCACAAATTACGTCGAATTACTTTATTTCTCCTGGAAAGAATCCGGTTGGCCCTGGTTAGTTTGGGCTCCTCCGAGTGCCAGGGTGTGCCAGTCCCTGCACACAAGCACGGCCCGGGCCTCGGACCCCGGGGGTGGAGGTTGGGGAGCTGCCTGGGCCAAGTGCTGTCCCCGCGTCCTGTCCTGCAGGCCCTGCTGCGTCAGAGCCGGGGTCCCGGACATTTGCTCTGTAGCCTTCAGGTCTGTAGACCTGTGAGTGCCACTCTGCCCTCGCCTGCTGTGTGGGGTCCTGGTGGGGCTCAGGGTGACCCGCAGGAGACCCCTGGGGCACTGCTTGGCAGGAGCTTTTGCTGAGGACCAGCACCTGGGACCGGTGCCTCTGCCTGGCCTGGCCCCAGATGCCCGCTGTCCCCGGCGGGTGGGTACGGGCACAGCGGCAGCATTCCTGGGCCCTGTGAGCTGTGTGCAGGGTCAGGGTCCCCGGGCTGCTGTGGATGCAGGAAAGTGAACATTGTGTTGCGGCACTGACCCCTCCTCCCTGTAGTCCGTGGGGCCGGGGTGAACCCAGTCTCCCCTCTACTCCCCAGACGCCATGTCCGGCAAGGGCTCCGTGGTTCTGGCCTACAGCGGTGGCCTGGACACCTCCTGCATCCTCGTGTGGCTAAAGGAGCAGGGCTATGATGTCATTGCCTACCTGGTGAGCCTGGCCTGGGTGTCCCGCTGCCCCCACCACTGTCCTGCCCTCTGCCTGCCCAGCTCCCCGCCGTGCGGCCTCTGACCCCCGGCTCTCTGAGGCCCAGGATCTAGGCAAGGTGCAGGGCTAACGCCTGGACTCTGTACCCGTGGGGGGGCACAACCCTCCCTGCCCACGCCCCCGACAACCCCCGAAACTCAGTGAAGACCAGGAGGTGCTACAACGCCTCTCCACCCTGCGGGCCCCGAACCCACCTCTGCTTCGCTGCAGAATCTAGAAATTCACCTGAAACTAGCCTGAGGAGAAAAACCAGCAACTACCTGGGCCCCAAACCGGTTGGCTTGCATGTAACCAAGAAGCCCAGGATGGCTCCAGGCAAAGCTGTATTCCCCGCCCCGAAGGGCAGGAGGGGCTGCCAGCAGCCGCCCTCACGTCCCACTTAGAGGCCGAGACAGGGCTACGGATGTAGGCCCAATGGCAGGGCACTTGACTGTGCCGGAGGTCCTGAGTTCAATCCTCGGTTCTGCCAAAAAAAAGCCTGAGACTGACACTGGGCCTGAGTCTGCTTTCCTCCGGGTCATTCTGGGTCATGAGGAGAGGAGAGGAGAGGGTGCTGCTCCACACAGGAGTTGGCTGCAGCTCGTCCCCTTGTTCAGGTGGAGGAAACTGAGGTCTAGCAGGGGGGAAGCATTTAGCCCAAAATCACCGGGCGAATAGCAGCTGCAGTGCCGAGTGGATGCTGTGACCCGGGGGTCCCCCCACCCCATGGACAAGCTGCCTGTGACCTCAGGCCACCCAGCAGCTGGGCTGCGGCGAGATCAGGGCGCAGAGACCGGGGGCTCAGACCGGGCTGTGGGCCAGAGCCAGCAGCATCTAGACAGGGTGACAGGAAGTAGGGGTCAGGGCCCAGGTGGCAGCACAGAGCCACGGCTGGCTCGGGTGGTCAGGAATGCTGGGTGCTTCCTGTCTGGGAAATCGCTGGGCCGGCTACTTCCTGCAGTGCAGCCTTGTGGCCGCTGGGGGTGGATGTGTTGGGAGCCACAGGCCGGGGCGAGGAAGCGGCAGCGGAGAGCGGTGTCCCAGCAGCCTGGGTGCCAGCGGCTCCCCGCATGCACTCCTGCGCTGCCTACGGCTCCCCGCCTGGTCTGTGCCCTCCTTCCCACCGACCTTGGCTGGGAGGTCCACCCACTCGCTCCAGGGCTGGGCTCTGTGTGCTTCCGCGCCCCACTCCATCCCTGGCCTCACCGGGTCTCTCCGCTCCTGCTCCCCAGGCCAACATCGGCCAGAAGGAGGACTTTGAGGAAGCCAGGAAGAAGGCGCTAAAGCTTGGGGCCAAAAAGGTACGGAGAGAGGCGGGCTGGGCTGGAGAGGGTGCTGGAGCGAGGATCCCGCCCAGAGCTCTGTCCCGCAGCCCTGCCGGTCTGCCTGCTCTCACAGCCGCTCTCCCTCATTCGCCCACTTCCTGTCCATCCGCTCTTGGCCGCCCCGTCACCCCGCCCTGGATGACCTCTTTCATCTCTCCCCACCCATTGCCCATGTACCCAGCCGCCTGCCCCATATCCCTGCTCCCTGCTCGTCTGTTCGTCCGTCTGTCCGTCCGCCTGCCCATCCTCCCTCATCTCCGTCCTTCCGTCCCTTGATCAGCGTCAGGAAGCTCCAGCTGAGTTCTGTGCCTTCAGCGAGTGCCTGGTCTGGCGGTGGGCAGCCCCACGTGGGGTGTGGAGCCGCCGTGGCAGATGTGGCCAACGTGGCACGTTGTGCCGTGGCTCAGGGTGCCTGTGGGAAACGCCCGACAAGTGTGTCCCTGCCCGGCGTCACCAACCCTGCTGTGGGGCTGCTGGGAGGTAGATGTGGCCCCCTATGCTGCCCAGGCCCCCAGCAAGGGCAGGAGCTATCTGAATAGAACCAGGGAGCGGGCTGAGCAAGCAAAGAGGATGCTGAAAGGTCCCCTTACCCAGCACCTCACAAGCCACTCTGTTCATGGTGTTGCGTGTTTATTGTCTTACACGTAACATTAGCAGTCACCCAGCATCGCTTTCTTTTCTTTGCTTTTTTCACCCCAGTATTGGGATTGAACCCAGGGCCTTTTCACTAAGCTATATCTGCAGCTCTTTTTCAATTTTTAAAATTTTTAAGACAGGGTCTTGTTAAGTCACCCAGACTGGGCTCAAACTTGTGATCCTCCTGCCTCAGCCTCCCGAAGTACTGGGGTTACAGGCCTGCACCACCGCTGCTCCCAGCTCTGTGTTTGCTTTTGTGCCACCTGTGTCTCAGTGAGTGAGAAGGACCAGTCATGTCTCACTATCACTGTAAGAAGTGCTGGCACTCGGTCTCCCTACAGAAGTCTTGGGAGAGCGGCTCCTTATGACCTCTGTGGTCTCAACCATGGTACTATTTACACACAGCTGGCCTTTGCCTACCAGATATCACCAGCCCCCTCTCCTCCCCAATTGTGCAATTGTGCCGAAATTGTGTCCAGATGTCCCCAAGTGCCCCTGGGGAACAAAACCTCCCAAGATTGGGAACAACACCCCCATTGCCCTGCTGTCCTCACTGCTGCTCTAGGTCTTAGGTAGCGACTGAGTTTCATTTTGTTGGGAAGGACTTAGGAGCTGCCTGGTTTCCATCTGTGGATTGATTGGCAATGTCTGTCATGAGTGCAGCATAGAGAGTAATGGTATGGTTTGCAGGAAGCGGTTAGTAATGTCTGCTACAGCTGCAGAAGGAGAAGTGGGGGTGTAGCTCCTGCAGCTCTACTCTGACCAGCCCCTACCCCTGCCAAGGCCCCCGTCATGGCCCCTGTCCCCTAGGTGTTCATCGAGGACGTGAGCAGGGAGTTTGTGGAGGAGTTCATCTGGCCTGCCGTCCAGTCCAGCGCACTGTATGAGGACCGCTACCTCTTGGGCACCTCCCTCGCCAGGCCCTGCATTGCCCGCAAGCAAGTGGAGATTGCCCAGCAGGAGGGAGCCCAGTATGTGTCTCATGGCGCCACGGGGAAGGTAAGGAGGGGCCTGGGTAGGCTGTGGTGGTCTGGGCCAAGGGAGGAGGAGGTGCCATCTGGGAGAACATGGGCAGGGTGGCAAAAGCATCAGAGGCCGTGCCCTAGGACAGCTTGGTGTTCAGCTGCAACCTGGCTCTGTTAAAATCCCAACAAAGCTCCTGGCTACTTGGGAGGTTGAGGCAGAAGGGTCACAAACCCTAGCCCCCACCTTGCCATTGGCTCTCTGAGCCTCAGTTTGTGTCTTCATTTGCAAGATGGGAATGTAGCCCTGCCTGTGTGCCTGGGCTTGTGGCTGCTTCCCTGCCCTTCTCATCTTCACACACATGGCATCTTCCCTGTGTATATCACGATGCACATTTCTGCTGTGTGTAAGGATTCGTGTCACACTGGATGGGTAGGGTCCGTCCTGACATCCCCATTGTAGCCTGACCCTGTAGAGACCAGGTCAGGGCACATTCTCAGGTCCTGTCCTCACACAGTGATCATCCTGCCTCAGCCTCCCCAGTGCTGAGGTTTTAGGTAGAGACCACCTCGCCAGGCCTTTGAACCCACCTTTTCAAGGGGACGCAGTTCATTGGGTAGCACCCCCCTTTCTCCATCTGTGGGTGCAGGACAGGCTGGAGGAGAAGCCCATGGCCGGGCAGGACAGTCCTTACCGTGTCCCTCCACACTGTGGTGCCCCAGACCACCATTCCTAACAGTACTGACTGCCATGAGCTCTCACAGCTGGTGGGCACCACGTCAGGGGCCTGGCACAGCATGCAGGTCCCTCCCCAGTGATGGGAGAGCACTGCCCGGCTGCCCTGGGCTGGCTGAGGCGGCGCTAAGGGGGAGCAGGGGCTGCGGAGGAGCAAAGGTGAGGGAGCCACCGCGGACACAGGGAACAGCCGTTCACAGGCCTGGACACAGACCAGGGTGCCAGCCTGCCTGGGAGCCTGCAGAAGCTGTGGGAAACTCAGTAAGGTCAAGGTCAGGCCAAGCGAGGGCCACATCTTGAGGGCGATAGATTCAGCGGTGTGGGGTCCAGGGCTGCGTGGGGGTGGCCGAGGACTCCCCCGCAATGTTGGGCAGCCCAGCCTAGGGGTGGCAGTCCCGCAGGCCGGCAGCAGGGGGCGCAGGAGAGGCTCAGCCCCGCTCCACAGCCCGCTGTGACCTTACCCGCCCCAGTTACTGCTTCCTGCACAGCGAGGAGAAAAAGAGGCCCCGGCTCAGCGGGTGCCCGGGGGAGAAGGGGAGGATAATTCCAAAAAGTGCCGAGCCCAGGCGGTCAGCAACGCTCTGCGCAGTGAGCCCAGCCCGCGATGGTGGATGGAAGTCATCAAAGGACAAAATACCCGAAGCTGCTCCTCTCGTGGGACTGGGTCAGGG